CATTACTAAATTTTGATCCCTGAAATCTTTGGTAATACCAATGTTCACTTTGTCTGGTTTTGTTGCAGTATGCCCCAATTATGATCACATTATAAAATCTAAATTTTGATCCCTAAAATTTTTGGTAATACCAATGTTCACTTTGTCTGGTATGCCCCATTTATTCACTCATGCCTAATAATACTACAGGAAAGAGAAAACATTCAAGTCAAGCTAGAAAGATTCATCGTGAACAAACCTTAAAAGAAATAAATGAATTAGAAGAAAAATGCCAAAGTTTGGTTATTGTCAAAAAAACATTTCCCATCTAATTAATTGTAGAATTATACTAAGTTACTTTAAAAAAATTTAGAATGTCGAAGCCAGCTTTCAAAAGTTCAATGAACTACCAATTTCACCTCCTACGCTTGAGGGCTTACAGCAAGCAAACTTTATAGAAATGACTGAAATTCAGCAAAAAGCAATTCCACTTGCATTAAAAGGAAAAGATATATTAGGAGCAGCTAAAACCGGCAGTGGTAAAACTCTGGCTTTTCTCATTCCGGTAAATCAAACACTTTATCTTTTTGTCAAAAATTGATAGAGAATTATTTAACTAATAAAAAAAATTAATAGACATGTTTATTAATTTATAAATCAATTAATATTTAAAAGCTGATTGAACTACTATATAGAAACAAATGGACCCAATTAGATGGATTGGGTGCGCTTGTTATAGCACCAACACGAGAATTAGTTAGTAACAATTCTAAATATTTTGTTTTCTCATTTTCAATTTTATATAATAAATATATAATCGAATCGTTTAGGCAGTTCAGATATTTGAAGTATTACGTAAAATTGGAAATAGGCATTTTTTGTCGGCAGGTCTTATTATCGGTGGAAAGGATGTACAAATTGAACAAGAACGTATTAATAGAATGAACATATTAATATGTACACCTGGACGTTTATTACAGCATATGGATCAGACAGCATATTTTGAATGTTCTAATTTACAAATTTTAGGTAGCTAATAAGACATTTATAATAAGATATAATATAATGTAGTATAATAATTATTTCATTGATTCATTCATTTATTTAGTTTTTCTAAAAAATTTTTGATTGAAATAAATAGTTTTAGATGAGGCAGATCGAATACTTGATATGGGATTTCAGAAAACTATTAATGCAATTATTGAAAATTTACCTAAAAAACGTCAAACTTTATTATTTTCTGCAACTCAAACAAATTCTGTTGATGATTTGGCGCGATTAAGCTTACAGGTACATGTATAAAATATATTTACGCGTGCCAATATTTATTGATTTTCTTAATAAAATTTTATCAGTCATATATTTATTTATATATTTGTTTCTGATTAAAGAATCCAAAATATGTCGCTGTCCATGAGAATTCAGAACATAGCACACCACAAGATTTATATCAACATTATTTAGTATGTGATTTAACGGAAAAACTAGACATTTTATTTTCATTTATCAAATCACATTTACAAGTAAAAGCTGTAGTATTTTTATCAAGTTGTAAACAGGCTAGTATTAATGATTTAAAAAATCACACACAAATATATATTTGTTATTTCATCAAATTTATTTTTTAATAATAACGATGATGAACATTTATCAGGTTCGATTTGTTTTTGAAACTTTTTGTAAATTACATCCAGGAGTTCCATTACTTCATCTACACGGAAAACAAAAACAAACTAAACGAGTAGAAATATTTAATAAATTTTCAGCCATGAAAACGGCGTATTTATTTGCCACTGATATCGCGGCTAGAGGATTAGATATTCCAGCTGTTGACTGGGTTATACAGGTGGACGCGCCAGAAAGTGCAGACACTTATATTCATAGAGTAGGACGTACCGCAAGATATGATGCTTCAGGGCATGGGTTATTGTTTTTACTTCCGTCGGAAGAACAAGGAATGAAAGAAGTTTTGAAAAAGAAAAAAGTTCCAATTGAACAAATTCAAGTGAAGTCTAATAGAATGACGAGCATACAGAAACAATTGCAGTTTTTATGTTTTAAAGATTCCGAAATTAAATATCTTGGACAAAAGGTGCTTAAAAATTTTCTGGTTTAATTTATTTTTTTAAAAACAATTGGTTGATACGGCAATTATTCTATATTAGGCATTTATTTCTTATATGCGATCTGTTTACTTACAAAGTGATAAGTCAATATTTAAAGTTGGAGAATTGCCAGCTGAAAATTTTGCAGCATCTCTTGGATTACCAGGAACTCCAAAAATCAAATTTATCAAGGTGACTGAAACCTTAAATAAATTTGTATAGATAAATTCAAATTGATGATGAGTGTTTTTTTAATTTATTAATTTATTAAGAAATCACAAGCAAAAAATGCAATACGTCAAAAACCCAGGGAATTTGAAGAAGATGAGGGTGGATCGAGTTCAAGTGACGAAGAGAAGGATGATGATAATAATAATCGCAACATAGATCATGAAGATGATAAAGTTATAGGAGGGGATGATGATGATGAATTTATTACTCTTAAACGTACAAATCATGAGCTTCCAAAGGAATTAGAAAATCCAGTATATGTTATTTTTTTGATGTCTACTAATTATGTTTTATATATATATATATATATATATATATATATATATATCTAAATTGATTTATGCAATAATTAATTATCTAGGATTATGAAAATCTCTCGAAACGTAAGTTGAAGGTAGCCAAATCCAAGAAATTATCAATCAAGAATGCGCCAAAAGGTGAAAAACTGGTGTTTGATGAAGATGGAAATGTAAATTTGTTTATTTGTTTATTTGTTCTATTTGTTTTATTTTAATATAGAAAAATATTAATATTTGAAACCTTAATTAAATAGCCACATCGAATCTATGAGTTGCGAGATGAAAAGGAATTCCACGCAGCGGGACCTTTAATAGTTCAAAAACAAAAATTCTTAAGCAAGGAATTAGAAATGATGGCATTAGAGGATCAAATGGACAAGGTGACTGCAAAAGAAAAAAAGATTGAAATGAAATTAAAGAAAAAAGCTAAATTATCAGTTGATGATTAATAAAAAAATCAAAGTGCGTGTATTTTATTTTATTATTGAAATTGATATTTTGGATATTTTGAATATGATAATATTAAGCTTTTGGGTTATTGTGAAATCTTCAAATCCTTAATTAAAACAATAAAGGCAATAGATGGTGGTGATGAATTTGATTGGGGTGGTTGATTATTACTTTGAGTTTGTGATTGAGTTGCTTGAGTGAAAGTTGTAGTTGTTTGTGATGTTGTTGACACTACACTTAATATTACATGTGGATTATTTTCAGCGTATGGTGGTGATTTGGATCTACGGGTGCAGGATAATATCTGCATCCAACGCTAACCTTGATTATAGGATTCAGATTTGATAGTTTTTCTTCTTCTACAAACACACAGTTGCTGTTCTTTATGAACCCCTCATAGCTGTGAATTTTTTCTGGTGGCGAAGGTCCCCGCATCTTAGGAGACTTTGGACGAGTGAGAGGCTTTAACACTCTCCTTGACGACAACCCAATTAATAAATTCCAGAGCCACCCCTCCTCCTCTCGAAATTTAATACATCGGGGGATGCAGGCAAGGTTAGTCCAATGTACGCTGGTGATTTTTAATATAAAAAATTTGTCACATATCACTTTGGGGGGTTAACATAATAATAAGGGGTGTTCAAAGTTGTTCCGTTCCTGTTCCTAGTTGTACAATACTTATTAGATAATGGAAATCATGATCAACTTTAGCAGAAAATTTCCTATATAGTTGTTTCAGATCTATCTATGACACTGATCTACATAATAAATTTATGCGTTTTTTGCACAATTAATATAAATAATTATTAAAATGTCAACTCATGACAATCAATCCTTTCATCCATTTTTTGCGTAATATTTCACCAAATTCTGTTCAAATTGAGGGTTCTAATGATAAGAATTTTTCATTTGAAATAGTTTATTTTGGCTCAATAGTAGTGTATCCAAAAGACATTATTTCATTGTGTAATTTTGCAACCACTTTATTTCTTTCTGAAATAATATCATTCTGGTTGGTTGCAAAACTTTTTGGTTATTTATACTTGCCCAGGAGTTGCTCTATTATATTCTTTTGATCAACATTCAATTTCTGTAACTTTCTTTGTATTTTGGAACTATATGAGCCATGAAAATGAGGGAGGTCCGGTGAGTAAATTTCGTCGTGTTACTAGTATAAATTTAGAAACTATCTCCAGAAATTCAAAATTTGATGTTACACGCGCCCGTTCAATTTTACACACTGGGGGAGGCCTTGTCCAGCAAGTTTTCCAGTTGGTATAGTAAATCAGAAGCCCACAGGATTATTATTTTTATTTCCACCTCTTTGATTCCAACGTTTTACATGATAATGGTCAAATTGGTTTTATCATGATTTTGTGAATGGTGATGTAGCTTACCATGAGAAACCTCCAATCCTATTATAAAATTAAAAGATATATATATGTATATATTAATTAATTAATTAATTATTAATTTTATATATAAGAATAAACAAACTAGCCTAATCTCAACTCATGTAAAATTCTTCCATTTTCTTTCTCAATTGCTTTTTTAATACTTTCCGGATTATCATATTGGATAAAACCAAAACTATTTTTTAATAGATATTTCAAAAACTTCTCCATAAGGAGATAAAGCTCCTTCTTGGAAGTTGAATGTGCGGACAAATTTTTCAAAAATAAACGAGATCCTGGATGCAGAGCTTGGAATTCAGCATCTGTTAATTTATACAAACTAAATGGGCCTTATTATGATTATTATTATTATTATTATTATTATTGTTAAATTATTAACATTATTATTATTGTTATAATTATTAACACCATTATTATTGTTATAATTGTTAACATTGCTATTAATGCTATTATTATTAATATTATTATTTTCATTTGATCTTTCATTTCCTATTTGGGAGTTTGGAGAATGGTGATTACGAAACTTATGGTGATGCTCTCTATCAAAATTTTCTAGATTATTAGGTTGGGTATCCCAACTAGAACTAGTAGTATTGAAATTTTGTTGTTGTAAAGTTTGTTGTCTATGTTCAAAATTCACCAACTCTTCTTTGTTATTATTATCATTGCCATTATCATTAGCATCATCATTATTAATGCTATTGATTTGAGATTCATAAAGGTCAGACTCATTTGTAGAAACGTTTGTGTTGTTTTTAACTTCTTGAACATTGGAAGAAACAAGCTCCATATTATTACTTTCAATTTGAGTATTGTTATTATCATCATTTTTAGGCAGTGGTTCACTATTATTAATAAGTTCTTTTGTTTTGTCAATTATTTCTTGACTGGTGTTTTCATTTTGCACATTAATATGAATAGTTTGTTCATTTGATGGTGAGTTAGGAATAGATTTGTGGATGTATTTTCAAATACGGAAATTTGCAAAGGCATTATTTCTTTTTGATTTTGGAAGCCTCATCAAATTTTCTAATTTGTCATCCATTTTTTGATAATTTCTTTATCGCTAACAGTTGGATTTTTTTCAGTCATCAATTCCTGTTGGGAAGAAATATCAAAACTAATAGAGGTTGACTGCATCATTGGAATATTTATTTTTAAAATTTAAAAAAGATAATGTATTTTCCGCAAAAGTTTTATTGGTGGGTTGGCATATTTAGAAATAAATTGGCGATTTCTGGATTTTTGCGGAAAACCCCCTTTTTTGGATCAAGGTACATACCATTCATAATTTAATATTAAGACATATTTACCGCATACTGACATATTCAAGGGTTCTCATATGATGATTTTATTAATATTAGATATGAAATTTTAATTACCTGCACTAATTACTATACACCAAAAAATATCGAAATTTTTGTGAACAAACATGGGTCATCGGATCCATTGGTGCACCTTTTTAACCATATTTAGTTACTAATACTAGCAATTAAACTTGGTAAAACGAATTGTGATGATTTGGCCAATCAAATTAAATTTACTTTCAATAAGAAAAAATGAAACTTTATTCTATCACAATATTTGCAACAGAACCTAATCAACCTGCTATTAATTTGGCTGGAGAATATGATCTTTCGGGTTTTGGTTTTTTTCAACGTTCAAGGTATGAATATACATATCTATTGTTTTATATATTATTAATGATTGCTTATAATAATTATATTATTTTTCATTAATAGTGCGCAAGAATTTATGACATTTTTTGCTA